AACTATACATAATATTCTTAAGATGTCAAACTTAAACAGTGATAAGAGGAAGAGAACCCCTCACTGAAAGGGACATAAATTGCTTAGATTCTTAGTCAGAGATGGGGAGGGAATTCGGCCACTATGACCTACTCTCTACCACATTCCAAGGTAAAGGTGGGTATGAGCACATAGTGGGCTCTAGGGAGGAACAGACACCAAGTAGCTGTCACATCCCCCTCCTAGATCATCACTGTAAAAAACCCGGCACTCATCTGTTATTAGTTGTCATCACTTGTTCCTTGGGATTCAAGGCTGGAAGTGAGGCCCAGCTTTGCCACTGCCGAATGTTGGTGAGACTCTGGTCAGTAGATCCATGTGCCTCTCTGCACCTCTGTGAGCTAAGCTAGAAAAAGGAGGGATCTCCCCACAATACCTGCCAACCCTGAGTGTCTAAAAGTCCTACCCTCATGGGTTGGAAAGTAGGTGCTGGCTGATACAGGGCACGTTCATCAGCCCCAACAACTGTGCTGAGTCCAGTTACCGTGGGCCCTGGACTGAGACCGCCTGCCTTCGAATCCTTGCTCAGCCACTTGCTTGCTTGTGACTTTGGCCAGATTTGATAATTTCATAATGCTACAGTTTCACTATATACCTGGGAATAATAACAGAATCTACCTCAGTGTTTCAGTGAGGATTACATGAAATATCTGCAGCACAAAAGAAGCATCTGCAATAATGCCAATTACAGAAGGTAAATGTTTTCATCACCATCATTTCATTTTCTTGCACACCCGTTGCTGATGCTTCTCCACAAAGACATGAAATCTCTATGATGATCACCAGCACAACACACTCAAGTGGGGGTGGGGGTGGAGGAGACCCAAAACTATTAAGAGTGGAAGGCTTTCTGTGTGGGATACTTATAAAAAAAGCATTTTAGCAGCATAACAGAACTTCTCAGCAGTCTGTGCACAGAAGGGCAACAGTAAGGAATGAAGTTAGAACAAGAGTGGGTAGGTGGCACATGTTCCCCCAAGGGCCAGCCATAAAAATCACAGAGGGATGCAAATAAATGAGGCTGCTATTATTCTAGGGATAACCTTAAAAGCTGACTTTTTCAAAAGTAAATCTTTCATAAGCACCAGTACTTAACTATCACTAACAACAAAGTACTAGGGGTACACTCACTCCTGAGTTCACAGGCACTAGGGTACTCCTTAGCCATTGGAGGTAGCTGCCCCAGCAGGGGCCAAGGTCTAGCAGGTATTAACATTGGTCTGGCAGTGAATGTGACAAAGGGATGGATCCTCACAGGCAATCGCCAAACCCAGCCATAATAGCTTATAACCCTCACGTGTCCATTTACATGTCCAGATTTGGAGGCTGGACAAAGGAAGGCCCTGGGCTTGTTCCCTTGTGTTTTAGCACAAGAGCTATGGGATTTTGAAGGAAAAAAGAAGTGATTCCTCTAATCCCTGCCATGCAAATGCACAGCCTTCCAGGTCTAACAAAGTCCAGGAAGGATGTGCTTAATTGTGAGAATGAAAATATAAAATGTAACCACCCAAATGGTCAAATAAGTCCCAACTCTTCCTGCTGAGAACATGGTTACAGAACTATGGCTGAGGGGACCCATCTTGGCAGCTTTCCAAGAGCTATTAGTTTGCATTAACATACTGAAAGAAAAGGGCAGATAAACTAAAAGTGAGAAGGTAATTTAGAAGGACATCTTTATAACCAGCACAGGGCCAGGCACATGGGAGATGCTGGGTAATGCTCGCTCAGTGAGCACACCTGCAGCCAGCGTCCCGGGCACAGCTGCAGTCGGATCATTGATATTGACATGGAGGTGAAACACGTATCAGGATATGGCTTAGATTAGAGACTTGAAGGGTTGGGGAGATCTTTACTCAATTTCAAAGAGAAATTTAAAAGTACAGCTATCTTCTGGCTATGAAGAGTGTGACTCTGTACTTCAAAGCAATTACTAACTTTGAAGGCAGCCTGGTGAAACTTGTGCTGACAAGCCTCCCATGTTTATTTATTTCTCACCCAAGCCTCTCAATTGTCACCCACATGGCAACACACAAAGTGTGAAATTATGTCTTCTTCTTTAAAAGTACCTGGATTGTGGAACATATACACCTTCCTTCACTCAGAACTACTCATCAACCACTCACCTGACACCAGGACCCTTCCCCAAACTTTGACATCCACCACAGCAAACCCCCAGAGACAAAGCTGATGGCACATGCTTCTCGAGGTCTATAAAAGCATCAATCCCACTCCCAACTCCCACTCTTTTACTCGTCCCAGGGCCAGACGGCTATGACACTCAAGGCAGAAGGATGAAAATGAGTCCCCAGCATTCTAGATGACCGCAGAGTAGGAAAGAACTTGAATTTTCCAACCTGGATCTTAAAGTGACTGCTCTTTCCCATTTCCCAGACATCTTTTCTGGGTACACTAGTCACTGCCTGTCCCCTGCCCAAAACGAGCTGGGGTGACTTTGAAGTGACTTATTCTGAGGTGTGTGGGACAAGAGAAAAAGTCAGATCAAACGTTAGAGTGACATCTAGAACAGATCCAGAGAAGTCACACTCAACGTGACTCCAAACGTCTCCTCCTCAGCTAGGGTCATGGGAGATTCTGGCATTTCAGTGCTTCAGAGGCCAACTGGGCAGAAGCCTCCTTAGTTATTTTTAAACTGAAAACTGAATGAAAAGAGCGAATATTTGGATTCCTGTGATCTCCTGAGGTCCCTTCCAACTTCCAGATTCTACCGGAGAACACTGCATACGCACATAAATATGCACACCCTTCTTTGTAAAAATACATACAGATGTGTGAATATAGATATTACCAAGGAGTGCTGTATTCACACTTCAAAACAATTAGCACCTGCTGAGATCAAACAGCTTATCAGCTGCTTTGCAGCAGTGGCCCAGGGCACACAGACGTCATTGGCAGAACTGAGCAGGTCCCCCAACCCATCTGCCATTGCAGTTCACCTTAAAACCAGCTGGAGACTTCTAACGTCAATGCAAACCCTACAGATCTCCAAACTAGGACTACAGACTACTTCCTCCTAGTGACTCCTCACAAGTGTCCCAAACCTGTGAAAGCGGGATGAAACAAAGGAGGAGATGAAAGAAAAAACCCAAACCCTGTACCCCAGCGCCCAGCCCTGCCAGAGTCAGAACAACTTCCTTGTCTTCTCCCTGTCCCTAGAAAGTGCAAAAAGGTCTTGTTCTTCCCCTACCTGGCTTTTCAGGGCCTCTCCATTTAAGGCTGACTACGTGGGTATTTATTAATAGTTGGTAACCAGGGAATACTAAAATGCCTCTAGAAATTAGAGCTTTGCTCTGATCCTACTGCCAAACAAATCTGAGGGTGCCCATCTCCATTTTGAACAATAGCAACAAAAATAATTTATAGGAAAGAAGGGAGAGGGAGGTGCAAATGTATTCATCAAGACAGATTTGAGATTTGTTCTTCATGAAAAACTGTTCTGTGATTTTCCTGGATCAGACAAGGTAGTTTTGAAGCAGCGTCAAGGCTCAGGGTGCCGGAGACACAATGGTTAACATCTTTGTAACGAGATGCCAACTCTTACTTTGATCGGGGTATGTTTACCAGGGCAATGCTACTGTCCCACTCAAACCCCACACAAACCTTGGTCTCCTCCCCAACTTCACAGCCTCCCAAGTGTCAACCTCTTTCCTAACTGGGCTGCCAGTACCCGGTGCAGACAACGGCGGCCAGCCTGGGCCGGGCCTGGCAGTCGGTGCCAGGAGTACGGGGCCCAGACCTCGACTGGGAGCCTCTGAAATCCACACACCTCGCCTGATTCCTGCAGCTCCAAGGCGCCCAGCGCCGAGTCTGTACTCCAAACGCCTCTGGACAATGCAAGCGCTACCCCCTCCCCGTTGAGCACTTCCTCGCTGCGGCTACCAAACCACGGCTTTGTGTGTGACAGCAAGTATGTCCCCGGGTTCACACACCCCCTCCTGCTGGCTGCCCAGGGTCCGTGCGCTCAGCGGACGCACTACTAGCGGGTTCACCCGGTAAGAGACTCGCCAACAGGCCTCCCGCCAGCCGGCCGCAGGGAGCAAGCGATGATACCCACGCCCCCGATCCCAGCCGCAAGGGCGGTGGGGAAGAGCAGCGCGAGGAGCTCCGTAGAGCCTAGGCAGGGAGTTGGGGACACCGAAGGGCGGCAGGCTGGGGCAGCGTCCCCAACTTGCCAGCCCTACCACCCCCAACTTTGCAAGGCACCGGCCCAGAGGGGGCCGGGGAGCTCGCTACTCGGCAGGAAGTTCCCAGGGCCTCACTGAGCATGCTCTCGGGGAGTGTAAGCGCGGGTGTGGGCTCTGCGCTCACCGCAGCCTCCCGGACCGGGCGGCAGCGCTCAGAGCACAGGCAGGATCGCGGTCCGGTAAGGCTGTCCCCAAGGAGCCGAGATCGCCCCGGGGCCTCCTCAATGCCCTAGCCAGAAGCTCCCGCCCGCTGCATCCCTCCTCTGGAGAGGCTCCGAGCCAGCCTCCCGCCTTCTTCCTCACCACTGGCTGGTAGTCGCGCCTGCCCTGCGCGCCCGAGTCTCCGGGACCCCAGCGTGGCCCATGCCTGCGGCGTGACCCCATAGGCTCCTCCGCTGTCCAAAAACCCATCTGCCATTTCTGGCTACTCGCTTCCAACCCGCGCAACCGGAGCCTCCTCTGGATAGTCTTTGGAAAGCCTACAAGCCTCTAGCCAGAGGGCCTGGGGGGCTTCAGCCTCTCATAGGGAGAGTTGCCCCGAGCAGGTGGGCTCCTCAAGGCGCGACCTCCGGGTACACTCTGGGATCCCGCACAACGGCCGCAGTCGGGGCATGCAGGCCCCCAGCAGCGCCGCCCTTAGTGCAGGTTCTGTCCTCCTCCTGGCTCCAGTTCCCCGCGCCCCGCGCAGTCCCCTCTGCGCGCATCTCCCCTAGAGGATGGCGAGCTCCGATGCGATCGCCCGGACCCAGCAGCTCTTACCTCCCTGTTGGGCGGCAGCAGCAGACAGAAACGAAAGTCGACCGCCGTACCCGCGAGGCCCGAGGTGTGGCGGGGCGCGGGGTCGCGGCACCCTGAGCCTGCAACGCGGGTACCTGGGCTAGATTGCGCCTAGGGCCGCCGCCGCCACGGGAGCCGCAGGGCCGCGGCCAAGCGGGCCGTGGCAGGGACGGTCTGCAAACTCCCAGCCCTGGCGGGTTGCGAGCGGCGCGTCCACACTCAGCCCCAACGCAGCAGAGATGTTCCTTTGGGGGCTCAGGCAACCAGGGCGGGAATCAGTCCGCAATTTCTTTTATCCTCCATTGCCAGACCTCACCAACTTCTGTCTGCTTCTGGGCTCAGCCCCTCTAGGAGGCAGGGAATCCGGGCAGGAACGCTCGGCTAACTCCCCGCCCCCGGTGAAGTGCTCAGCCAATTCGGAACGCCCCACCTTCTCAGGGGCCGTCTGCAAACTCTCAACCCTGCAGAAGAAGACTTCTCCAGCCTCTCAATTCCGCAGCCAGAGGGGAGAAACCACCGAGTGAGAGACAGTCTGATCGCGGCCGTACATAATATTCTAGCAAGCTTAGGGGAAGTGTGCAAATGCTGATATGACGATGCATCTTGCAAGGTTGTGCAGTCCAAGCCTCTAGGGATCAGGGGCCTTCCGGCAGTGAAGCCCAGTATGGGGGAGACTGTGGTCTTAACCATCTCCGCGTGTAGACGACTGTGAAAAAGTCCTCAGGCTCAGTTTACTCCTTCCTAGAATAGATTACGTAAAACATTATGAGTTTCTGCCACTTGGTTTGGTGACCTTGGGCAAGCAACTTAACCATTTGATTTTAGCTCTACTTATGAGCACAGCAAACGCTGCTTCGTGAGGTTATTGTGAAGATAAAATGAAATATACATAAAGTACCTCGCAATATCTGGTGCATAGTAAGTGTTCAATAAGTGATTTCCATTCTTGTATCTCTGTCCTGCTTCTACCCTCTGGATTTTATGAACACTCTGGACGTGCTAGCTGAACATTCCACTGTTGTAAATTCAAAAAGAAATAAAACACATTCCATGCCCTCAAGGCACCACGAAGCACATTGACTGACATGACAGGAAACCCAGCCAAGCCCCAGGAGAGAGAATGCAGCACATTCACATCACTAAGCTTTATAGAGCGTTGCTAAGTAGTATGTGAAATGGAGGGAGAGTGGGCGGATGGATTACCAAGAGTGGAATAGACAAGGGTCATGACCCCAGCAATTTCCAGACCCCATAACCAGTCGCTACATCCAGACCTTCTGAGAGTTTATGTTCAATTTCCCATGACCTTTCTTGTAGGACTTCTCCGCCCATTTCACCTCTCTAGGGTCTTTCTCTCACCTTTCCTCGGCTGCCCACCCTTCCCCAAAAGAAGCATTTGAACCAAGGATTTCTTGATCCAAGGATCAGGAAACTTTGAGAACCTAGACACGATTTAGTCCCTCTGCCTCATTTTGTAAGTGAGCTAATTAGGGAGGTCTTCTGACCCCAGCACTGAAGTAGAACACACTTTGTGCTTCTCTTGAACTGAGTGAGCTCAAGGCTCTGGACACCTTAGGTCCATCCTGCCTTCAACTTCAACCTGGAAGAAGTAGCTGTAATATTTTCTGACCAAATAAGCCCCAAATTATCAGCCACTTGGATCCTCAACTGTCAGAAACTGTTCAGGTCATGCTCAAGAACCACAAGTAAATCTGTATGAGTGGGATGACTTGTCTTCGTAAGACCTTTCAGTAAAATGCCAGCAATGTTCCAGGGGCACCTATTTCCCTCTGTCCCTTGGAAGAAAATAGTCTCCAGCTCTCTTCAGGAGCCAGGAAGGAAATAGAAGAATGGTGACATCTGGTGGCCAGGACTTACTGTGCCGGATATGGATCCTGCAGATTTCTATCATAATAGATTTGTTTTGAAGCCAAGTTCCCACCAGTGGTTAATAATTGTACCACCTGGTTGCCTAGAGATTTCTGAAATACATAAATCATTTAAACTTTGTGTATCCACTACTACAGAGGATATAACACATGCTTGGTATTTCAGAGTTCTTTTTTTTTTTTTTAACAGAATACCTATGTATATACAGAGAAATAAAGTATAAGGATATAAGTTCATAGTTATACACACATATGCATTTCCTATATTTTATTACATATTCTATTTATTTAATATACAGGACATGCCTTTGAGAGAGATTAACACTATTTAATGGTTTTTCCACAGAATTAAGATTATAATTTATATTGATTGGTGAAGGACACTGCTTGTAGACATAAAGATGCTTACAAGGAGAGAGTTATATATTTCATTAGGTCCTCTCCAGGGAGTTCATTACAAACTTAAGAAGAAAATATCCCAGTGGTATTTTAATAATGAAAGTCTTGGCAGCTGATGGCCAAGGTCATATATACCTGGTGAACAGAGATTCATCTTTAGCATTTCCACCACTTGTGAACCATGGGTGTTAGGGTATAAGAAGAAGGAAAGATGTTTGGGATTATTTCTCAACAATGCAACAGCGTCTGCTGTCATTGCTAAGCCAGCTCTAATTGTCTTTTTCCACTTATTTATCCGGTTCACAGTAGATAATTGCTCAGTTAAAGACAGAAAATGCAACTCGGACTGCACATCAAGTACAGTTGACCCTCTGTATCCACGGAAGATTAGCTCCAGTATCCCCCCCCCCCAATAGCAAAATCTACAGATGTTTCAATTCCTTATTTTTAAAAAAAATGGTATCCTGGCTCAGCCCCTATAGCTCAACCGGCTAAGGCGCCAGCCACATAGACCTAAGGTGGCGGGTTCGAATCCCCAGCCTGGACCCGCCAAACAACAATGACGGCTGC